CATCCCATCCCCATCCCATCCCCATCCCATCCCATCCCATCCCATCCCATCCCCATCCCATCCCATCCCATCCCTACCTCAGCACATTCTGGAGGGTCCCCATTCCCAAATGTGCTGGTGACCACCAAGACCAGGGTCTCATGCTCCAGGGCCACCACGTCATACTCATCCATGCACAGCACCTTCATGGAATCCCAGGATTAGGATCCCCCCGCAGACCTGAACCTCCCCTCACCCAAATCCAGCCACAGGGCCTTTGGGGGAGGTGGGCGAGGGGAACTCTGCCCCTTTCTCCTGCAGACCTTGGGGTCGAAGGCGCGGCGGAAGAGCTGGCACAGGTTCCAGGCGTAGGTCCGTGATTTCCCGGTCTCCGTGCCGTAGAGGATGGTGGCCTTGACCCGCCGCGCCATCACGTGTCCCATGAGCTTGGCCGAGATCTTAACAGCGCTGTGGGGTCCCCAGGGCACCGTGGGGTCAGCACGGCATTCCCGGGGACCCCAGAACTGCCACGGGATCCCCGGGATCGGGGGGTTCACCTACTTGGCCACTTCCTTGAAGGTCTTCCTCCGGGTGACAGTGGTGCCTTTGGACACGTAAACCTTCCAGGCGTCGGGCTGTGGGGCAGGAGGGGGCGGTTGTGGTGCAGGGGGCAGTTGTGAGGTGAGAGGGTTGGGAGTGTGTGGGACGGGGGAGCAGGGGTTTGGCTGTGAGGAAGAGGGGTCGGGGGGTCTGTGGGGCCAGACCCACCTGGTACCAGCATGTGAACTGGGGGTCATGGGGAGCCCTGGGGGGCTGGTGGGGGCTGGAAGGCCCCCACGGGGGTGGGGAGAGCCCCACTGGGTGCTGGAGCATCCCAGGGGATGTTCAGGGGCTGCTGTGGGGTGATGCAGAGGGTTGGGGGTCCCGCAGGGATCAGCAGCGCCCAGGGCAGTCCCAGAAAGTCCTGGGGGGTCCAGGGGGCTCAGCGCCAGCTGACCGAGGGTCTCAGTGCCCTGGGGCTGCACCTCCAGCCTGGCAGGGGGCACAGGGGCTGGGCAGCCATGGGGCACGGAGGGTCTGTGGGTGCAAGCCCACGCCCGGCAGCAGCAGGGGCTGTGGGGCAGGATCTGTGGGGCAGGGGTCCCACCTGGTAGCGGAAGGTGGGGCTCAGGTGGTAGTTGACCATCTCCTGGTGGAACACCGGTGTGAGACTGCCCGAGAGCGGGGGCACGATCCAGGCCCAGTCCGCGGGACACCCGCCCCGCGCCCGCCCCTCGGCCGCCAGGTGCTTCATGAAGGACTCGGTGGCCGCGTGGTGGTCCACGATGGTCACCTGGGCCACCTGCGGGGACAGGGGCATGGCAACGCGGGGAGGAGGGGGGCGCAGGGATGTGGGGGTGCCCGAGGCCCGGCACTGTGGGGCTCCAGCGCTGAGAGTGTCCAGCCGTGGGGAGCTCCCACGAGGGGGACCCCAGCAGTGTGGGGGTCCCGGCGCTGGGGGGCCCACAGGGGTCCCACCTGGAAGCTGTGCAGCACGGCCACGTTCACCTCCACAGCCGCCCGGTCCTTCCAGAGGGACGAGCTGCTGCCCGTGTCCAGCCCCATGCGCCGGGCCACCTCCTGCGGGGGGCAGCAGGGCCCGGTGGGCCGGGGGTCCCCGAGGGGTCCCCGATGGGACCCTTGTGGTGTCCTGTTTGGGGTGCCAGAGGGCTCCCGGGGGGAATTCTGGGGGAGGTTCCGGGAATGATCCGAGCATGGTCCTGGCAGGGGTCTCGGGGGTTCTGATGAGGGTCTCTGGATGGGCCTGGAGGGGGTCCCAGAGTGGTCCCAGTGGGGGTTGCTGGGGGGCTCCCGGGGTGGGCCAGTGTGGGTCCCAAGGGAAATATTGGGGGCTACCAGGGCGCTCCCAGGAGGGGTCCTGGGGGGACCCAAGTGCAGTCCCATAGCGGTTTCTTGGGTCCCAGTGCAGCCCCGGGGGTCCCAGTGCAGCCCCGGGGGTCCCTGTGGGGTCCCTGTGCAGCCCCGGGGGTCCCTGTGGGGTCCCAGTGTGATCCCGGGGGTCCCAGTGCAGTCCCGGGGTCCCAGTGCAGTCCCGGGGTCCCAGTGCAGTCCCGGGGTCCCAGTGCGATCCCGGGGGTCCCAGCGCGGCCCCGCGGTGCCGGGGGCTCACGGGCAGCACGTCGTAGCGGTGGCGGTCGCAGAGGTTGCGGGAGCCGATCTCGGTGCCCATGTACCAGCCGTTGAAGGGCGCCGCGGGGAACTCGAGCCCCCCGATCTCCAGCAGCAGGTTGGCCACGGCCGGCAGGGCGTGCCAGCGCAGCCCCAGCTCCGAGAACCACTCCAGCCTGGGGGCACGGGGGCTGTGGCCGCACCCGCACGCCCACCCCGGCCCCGCAGCCCCCCGCGCCGGCGGCCAGCCCCCATCCCACCCGCATCCCACCCAGGGAGGGTCAGCACACCCGTGGCTCCGTCAGGGGGGATCAGCACCCCAGCATTCCGGGATCCAGCCCAGGAGGGGGTCAGCAACCCAGTGTCCCAGCCCGGGAAGGCGCCGGCATTCCCGTACCCGCCGGGGATGGGATCGGACCCACGGCTGCTCCCTGTCCCCGGTGCGGTTCCCCAGCCTACATCCCCCGCTCCTTCCCCTCTCCCGACCCTCCCCAGGGGTGACCCCCGGCGCTCTCCCAGGCACGGGAGAGCCCCCCTTGGCCAGAGGGATTGCGGGGGCACAGCCGCACTCACGTGGGGTGGTGCAGCGGCACCTCGAGCACCAGCTCCGGGGGCAGCGGGAAGAGCTCGGGGGACTCGTCGGGGCTCTGCAGCAGCAGCGGCAGCACGTCGAAGCGGCCCCCCCCGGGGGTCCAGCCGTGTTGGAGACTGAGGTGGGGATGGAGAGGGAAGCGAGGAGGGGCGGGGAGGCGGTGAGGGGGCCTGGGGGTGCAGGGGTGCCCCACCTCGGTGATGTCCACATTGGCAGGGTCGCCCCGCACGGAGCCGTCGGGCTGCCGATAGCCCGCGTAGCGGATCAGCTGCGGGTTCCAGATGCGGAAATCGCCGCGCCCCGGAGCCCGCGGGGGGAAGATGGTGATGGCCGACCTGGGGGGGCCGGGGAGGGCCGTCAGGACACCCTGCGGCCGCGGGGGTCGGGGGGCGCCGGGGGGATTCTCACCGGATGTTGCCGCGGTTGGTGGCGAACTGGATGTGCGAGCAGAGGAGGCTGAACATCTCCCCCAGCCCCGCGCAGTCCCGGGCATCAAACACCTGCGGGGGACAGCGTGAGTGCGGGGCAGCTGGGATGGGAGCCCCCGGGGGAATCTGCGGGCCGGGGGTCCTTGGGGACGGGGTCCCCACGGGGCGGGGGCGGCGTGGGGTCTTTGTTGGGGTGGGAGTTCCCTGTGGAAGCGGGGTCGCGCGGGACGGGGTGCCGTGAGTCAGGGTCCCCTGGCTCCCCCTGCTACATGTGCGAGGCAGGGTCTCTGTGCCGTGGGGCGGGGGTCCCCCCAGGACACGGGACACGGGATGAGGGTCCCCGCGGTGTGGGGTGGCCATGGGGGTGGGGTGGGGCTCCTGTGGGGTGGCCCGGGCTGCCTTTGGGTCGCTGTCCCCAGCAGTCTGAGGTGTGTCCCCGCGGGCTGTGGTGGGCGGGGGTCCCGAGGGGGCCGCACCTGCAGCTTGTTCCACTGGATGCGGCCGACGCAGCGCGCCGCGTTCCGCCAGGCCTGCTTGGCTCCGAAGGCCAGCTCGGGCTCCCGCAGCCGGTACGAGCCCGACGCCGCGATGTCTGCGGCCACCTCCCGCAGCCGCTGCGTGTGTGCCGGGGAGTTCTCCCTGCAGGGGCACCCTCAGCACCCGCAGACAGCGGGACCACCCCCCCCAGCCCCCCCAGACACGGGCAGGTAGGGGGTAGGGGGGGCCAAGCAGCGACAGCGGGGTGCTCTGGGGCACGGATGGGGGCTGTGGGATGTGCCAGGGCAGGGATGGGGGATCTGGGTGTACTCCGGGGGAGAGGTGGGGATATGGGGCACCCCAGGGCATGTCAGGAGCCGTGGGGGTACCCCGGGGTGCAGGGGGGGGGATGTGGAGTGCTCTAGGCAGGGATGGGGCTGGGGGTGCTCTGCGGCAGGGGTGGGGTTTTGGGGTGTCCCAGGACAGGGATAGGGATATGGAGGTGGGGTTTTGGGCAGGGGTGCGGCTGTGGGGTGCCTCGGCACAGGGGAGGTCCAGGCTGTGGGGTGCAATGGGGCCGCGGGGTGCCCGGGCAGGGCCGGGGCTGGGCTGTGGGTGCCCCGGGGTGCCCGTGCCCGCTGTGGGGGTGCCCGTGCCCGCTGGGGGGGTGTGCCCGTGCCCCGGACCTGCCCGGCCGTGGCGCAGAGCGTGTCGTAGCTGATGCTCCCCGTCTCCCAGTTCTTCAGGCGGGCGAAGCGCGGCGGCTCCGCCGGGGAAGAGGGCGCCGAGCTGGGGGGTGACACGGGGCACCCCTGAGACCTGCCCGGGCACGGGGGGGCCAGCCGGGGGTCCCGGGGGACTTGGAGAGAAACGCGTGCCCCCTCGGCACTTTCTCCCGCGGCTCGGACACCGGGGCCCCTCGGGTGCGGGACCCGTCCGGGGGTGGCGACAGGAGGGCTCAGGGTGGGGGGGAGCAGGGCCGGGCTGTGCGGGACAGCGGGGGGGCCCGGGGGCTTCCCCAACATCTGGTGCTGCTGGGGGCCGGGGGGTCCCGAGCCCCCGGATGCACCCCGGGGATGGGGAGCGGCAGGGGATGGGGGGGCTCAGAGGAGCGGGAGGCTCAGAGTGGGGGGCAGAGGCTGGGGTCGTCAAGGGATGCTGGGGGACAAGGGAAACAGGGGATGGGGGGCTGAGCCGGGACGTCAGGGAATGGGGGGACAAGGTGTGGGGGCTGAGTGTCCGTGGGGTCAGGAGTGGAGGGGTCAGGATGGAGGGGGCGCGGGGCGTTCCTGGCCCTCGTGTGAGTGTGAACAATGGCCATGAGTCAGAGCGGGCTCCGGGCCACCGCGGGGGGAGGACACGGGTCCCTTCCGAGCCCCTCCGAGGTGCGGGGTCCCCGCGCCTCCATCCCCGCAGACCCCTCCCCGTATGTCCCCTATGTGCCCCCCGATGCCGCTCGGCCCAGAGCACCCCGGTGGGTCCCGTGGGCTGCGGGGGCCGCGCCGTGGGACAGGAGACACTGTCACCACGCCACGGGCAGCGGGCACAGGGCTCTCTGCCGGCGGGCTCCGTGCTGTGCCCCAGTGCCCCCCGCGAGCCACCCCGGGGGGACACCTCCACGGTGGGGACACCTCCGCGGCGGGGACACCTCCACGGCGGGGACACCTCCACGGCGGGGACACCTCCGCGGCGGGGACACGTCTCCGGTGGACTCGGGCCATGTGCGAACGTCCCCGCGAGCGAGGAGGGGGTCCCCGACGAGGCTCGGAGCCGCGGCAGGTGAGTGCCCGTGCCCCGGAGCCCCGTCCGTCCTTTCCACCCCATTCCTCCCCATCCCAGCCCGTCCGTCCCACCTGGGCACCCACCTGGGGGGCTCGGTGACAGCGGCAGGGGCAGCGGTGACAGGGGGGTCCTCGGGCGCGGGGCCGCGCGGGCGCGAGCAGAGGCCGAGGCCGGGGCAGGCGCGGGGGGCTCCGGGCAGGACCCCCGGCAGGTTCCCCATCGCGGCCCCACTGAGCCGGGAGCGGCCGCTTCCCGCTTCCTACTGCCCGGGGAAGTGGTGACGAGGCCGCGACGCCCCCGCCCCGCACACAATGGGCACCGCCACCTCCGCCGCCACCGCCACCGCCACGCGGCGTGGGACACACCGGGGACCCCAGCGCGGGGAGTGGAACCCAGTCTGCCCCCGGCCCCCGGCGTGTGGCCGTGGGGAGGGAGCGATGGCACCCAGAGAGGGGGACACTCGTGGAGGGGACATGGCCCGTGGGGGGACTTGGGAACACACATGACACCCGGGTGGGACACAGCCCTGGGGGGGACAGGGAACTGGGGGGGATATATGTCACTGGGGGGCACGCATGGCAGCCAGAGGGGGGCACACGGCACCTGGGGGGACACAGCACTGAAGAGGACGTGGCACCCACGGGGACATGGGACCGGGGGGACACACGCGGCGCCAGGGGAACATACACATGGCACTGGGGTGGACATGGCACCCTGGGGACACAGCGATGGCACCCAGAGGGAGGACACAACCCTCATGGGGGACACACAGCACCTGGGGGGCCGCGGTGGTGGCAGGGACCCCCATCCTAGCCACAGGACACTGTACGCCCCCATATTTTTTCACCGGGTGACTGGATGCCCCGGGGGGGTCCCGGACCGCCCCCAGACCCCCGGCCGTGGGGCGGATGTCCTGCGGGACCCCCCCCATTTCCCGCTGCTTCCACCCAGTTCCGGCCATTGACGCGCTGGGCGCTGCCGGGGACCCCAGGTCAGCACCCCTGGGGGAACCAGGCAGGGGGGGTGCACCCCGCGACCCTCCCGGGGCACCCCGCGAACCGCGCGGGGTGGGGGTTCACCCCAGCTGCCGGCGGGGAGGGTCTTACGGTGACCCCGGAGTGGGGCGGGGGTCGCGGGGCCGGGAGTCCGGGACGGGGGCGCTCTTGGGGTGCGGGGGGTTGGCGGGGCGTGCGGGGTCCCCCGGGTCGCGGCGGGGGAGGCCCC